GACTGAGATCGGGTCCTTACAATTGACTCTGACTCATTCTTGCTCTCTCCTCTGGTTGACCTCGGTGGTGGACCTTGTCCCTATCTATCATTTTTCCTTGGCCCCATGCAATTCTCCATGAGTATCTGGCAGAAATGTAAGACTAGGTTTGCATTGACATCGGATTGCTCCGCACTGACTAATGTCCTCTTCAACCCCAGCCTTCCAGACAGTTTGGCCGTGTCCCGGGTGCTCCCTTGGGTCACAGGTAACCTCTTCCAACTACGTCATTTAGTACACCCGTGACTCGGAGGCTGCATCCATTCGCTTACCTCCAGAAAAAGGATCTACCTTCCCAACACTTATATATCTACCTCCAGATATGCCACTTTTTCTCTACCATGTCCCCCACATTGACTCTTGGGAAACCCACTCCCTTTGAGCGTCTGTGCATACAGGGTCCACATCAAAGGGGCTTAATTTGTAATACATATAAACTTCTTATGGATGCCTCCCCCCTCTCTGACACTCACCACTACATGCGCAAGTGGTCCCAGTTTTTACAATGTGACATTGATCTGATGCAGTGGAGGAAAATTTGGGAAAACTCATGTAAATCTTCTGTCTGTGTGGTTTATAAGGAAAATACATACAAAATGATGATGCTGTGGTACAAAACTCCTGATGTAATCCATGCCTTTAATGCGAATGCTTCTTCCGCTTGCTGGCGTTGCGGGAAAGACCTTGGCTCTCTCTTCCACATTTTTTGGACGTGTGGATCCATCGTTCCCTTTTGGGAAGAGGTTTTGTCCTTTTTACAATTGCTATTGCATACCTCCCTTCCCTTTGAACCTCTGTACTTTTTATTGAGTCTGCCATTCCCAGGTCTTCCCAAAATGGCCAGGAAACTCGCCACACATATCCTGACAGCGGCTAGAAGAAGCATTCCTATGTGTTGGCTATCCTCTATACCTCCTTCGATGCCAACTCTGTTTAAAATTATTGCTGATGTGAGACAGATGGAGTACCTGACTGCTCTACACGCCTGTTCGATTGCTGTGTTCGAGGCAGTGTGGCACCCATGGGATAATTTCACTTCCTCCCACCTTTCTCCAAATGTACGGTTTTGATGGCCTCCTCACTGTTGCTATGTGACACTATGTCTGTATGTATATATATATACACAGTGGGGCAAAAAAGTATTTAGTCACCACCAATTGTACAAGTTCTCCCACTTACAAAGATTAGAGAGGCCTGTAATTGGCATCATAGGGAGACCTCAACTATGAGAGACAAAATGAGAAAACAAATCCAGACAATCACATTGGATGATTTAGAAAAAATGTATTTGCAAATTATGGTGGACAATAAGTATTTGGTGAATATGAAAAGTTCATCTCAATCCTTTGTTATATATCCTTTGTTGGCAATGACAGAGGTCAGACGTTTCCTGTAAGTCTTCACAAGGTTGGCACACACTGTTGCTGGAATGTTGGCCCATCCTCCATGCAGATCTCCTCTAGAGCAGTGATGTTTTGGGGCTGTCACTGGGCAACACGGACTTTCAACTCCCTCCAAAGGTTTTCTATGGGGTTGAGATCTGGAGACTGGCTAGGCCACTCCAGGACCTTGAAATGCTTCTTACGAAGCCACTCCTTCGTTGCCCGGGCGGTATGTTTGGGATCATTGTCATGTTGGAAGACCCTGCCACGTTTCATCTTCAATGCCCTTGCTGATGGAAGGAGGTTTGCACTCCTTATTTTCCACCATAATTTGTAAATAAATTCTTTCCAGATCAGCCAATGAGATTGTCTGGATTTGTTTTCTCATTTTGTCTCTCATAGTTGAGGTCTCCCTATGATGCCAATTACAGGCCTCTCTCATCTTTGTAAGTGGGAGAACTTGCACAATTGGTGGCTGACTAAATACTTTTTTGCCCCACTGTATATATATATGTGTGTGAAAACTAATAAAAATTGTTAATACAAAAATAAAAAATAAAGGTAAGTATAACCGTATATATTATAAGTGGGCGCTGATATGAGCGCAAAAGTAGTGCAGTGGAAATACGTCTATGAATGACGTAACAGTAATAACATGACAGTCCTAGTGAGTCCAATCACAAAATAATGATGTCCATCATGCAAGGTGATCGGTGCTTCGTGACCATCAATACTGGTGCCAAGATCTGGTGAGGTGATGCACTTACCAGAAGTACATATAATATGCGCATTATATGTAAATCCTTATGATGGGGTCATCGGATCTGGTCCGAGGCTACGGGGTCATCAGGCTCAGCAGTGAACAGTCAAGATGATAACTCACACTCAGGGGTCTCACTCCGCTCACAGACTCATCAGGCAGCTCTAAGCATTGACTCCACACTCCTAAATGGCTCCACCTTGTGAGGCTCGCAATAATCAAGCCAAGATGTAATTTGCACCATTTTGCGCTCATATCAGCGCCCACTTACAGCTGCAAGAAAAAGTATGTGAACCCCTTGGGATTACGTGGAGTTTTGCATGAATTGGGCATAAAATGTCTGAATGTCATCTAAGTCACAACAATAGAAAGAACACAGTCTGCTGAACATAATACTACACAAACATTAGATGTTGCCATGGTTTAATTGCACATAACATGTAAACATTCACAGTGCAGGGAGGAAAAAGTGTGTGAACCTTTGGACTTAATAACTGGTTGACCCTCCTTTGGCAGCAATAACCTCAACCAAACGTTTCCTGTAGTTGCAGATCAGACCTGCACAACGATCTGGAGTCATTTTGGACCACTCCTCTTCACAAAACTGTTTCAGTGTCACAATATTCTTGGGATGTCTGGTGTGAATCGCTCTCTTAAGGTCATGCCACAGCATTTCAATGGGGTTGAGGTCAGGACTCTGACTGGGCCACTCCAGAAGGCGTATTCTGTGCTGTTGCAGCCATTGTTTTGTTGAATTACTTGTATGCTTTGGGTCATTGTCCTGTTGCATCACCCATCCTCTGCGGAGCTTCAGTTGGCGGACAGATGGTCCTACGTTTTCCTGCAAAATGTCTTGATAAACTCTGGAATTCATTTTCCCATCAATGACAACAATCCGTCCAGGCCCTGAGGCAGCAAAGCAGCCCCAAACCATGATGCTCCCTCCGCCATGTTTCACAGTGGGGATGAGGTTTGATGTTGGTGTGCTGTGCCTTTTTTTCTCCACACATAGTGTTGTGTGTTCTTCCCAAACAACTCAATCTTGGTTTCATCTGTCCACAGTATATTTTGCCAGTAGTGCTGTGGAACATCCAGGTGCTCTTTTGCAAACTTCAAACGTGCTGCAATATTCTTTTTGGACAGCAATGGCTTCCTCCGTGGTGTCCTCCCATGTACTCCATTCTTGTTTAATGTTTTCCTTATTGTAGATGTGTCAACAAAAATGTTAGCATGTGCCAGAGATTTCTGTAGGTCTTTAGCTGACACTCTGGGATTCTTCTTTACCTCATGCAGCATTCTGCGCTGTGCTCTTGCAGTCATTTTTACAGGACGACCACGCCTAGGGAGAGTAGCAACAGTGCTAAACTTTCTCCATTTGTAGACAGTCTGTCTTACCGTGGACACATGAACATCAAGGCTTTTGGAGATACTTTTGTAACCCTTTCCAGCTTCATGCAAGTCAACAATTCTTGATGGTAGGTCTTCTGAGAGCTCTTTTCTGTGAGGCATGGTTCACATCAGACAGTGCTTCTTGAAACCAGTAAACCCAATAAAACAGGTGTGTGTTTTTTAAGGGCAGGACAGCTGTCAGCAACACATCCAATATCATCACACTGATTGGAGTCAAGGTTGGCTCACTCATGGCTCCAATTAGCTCTGGGAGAAGTCTGGGCCTCACATACGTTTTCCTCCCTGCACTGTGAATGTTTACATATTATGTGCAATTAAACCATGGCAACATCTAATGTTTGTGTAGTATTATGTTCAGCAGACTGTGTTTCTTCTATTGTTGTGACTTAGATGACATTCAGAGCACATTTTATGCCCAATTCATGCAAAACTCCACGTAATCCCAAGGGGTTCACATACTTTTTCTTTCAACTGTATGGTTATACTTACCTTTATGAGATATATGTTTTTAGCGCTGCATATTTTTTTCTATAAATTATATACAGTGTAGGGGGTCAGGACTTATAATATTGGTATTCAGTAATCAGTGGAAGATTAAATGTTTACTGTAGACAAGTTGCAGAGATCCCACACCGCTGCCTCCCATCTCCTGAGACTGCACTCAGTGACTTGGGGCTGAGACACTACAGACATATCCCTCACCCGGCACAGCCAGCAGACAACAGAGAAGGTCCCCTGGAGGAGTCAGGCACAAGGCAGGAGACCCCAGTCACATGTCCTGGGTGCCTACATTATACAATGCTTAGAGTAAAAATCAACATTTTGCTGCCAGCTGAACCCCAGAACCTCCATAAATCCAGTCTAGATACATAAATTGTGTCTGCAGCACAGAGAAGGAAGATTATCCGAGAGAAATCCAGGAATACAGGACGGGGAACACAGCTCAGGAAAGTGACCAGGGGATTACAGACTGATATCACCCCAGTCCCCGCCCTACTCTGGACCAATCAGTGAGCAGTATGGGTGGAGGAATGGATTTAGTGTTCATGACCCACCTGTGCTGATCTCTGTAGGAGTGTCCTCCTCTATAAATGTCCCCGTTATTCCATCCTCCTCCATAGACTGCTGATCATCCCTCACATACGCCTCTTCTTCTTCTGCTTCTTCTTTAACCTCAACTTTTATATCTATCAGATCTTCAACCTAAACCAACGGAAGAAAAGAAAATAACATCTGTAAGACATAAGCGTTAATATTGTTACATCACATAAAAAATCCACACATTGCCTCTATGAACCCATGCTCTAGATGCTCCATCCCACCAACCTTGTAACAATGAGGGATGGTGTGATCTTCCTGTGTGGAATCTCGGGAATACAGAGGACGGGGACATCTCTCTGGTGGGTTCCTGGTATTAGGTGGCTCCATCATATCCTTGTGTCCTTCTGAAAACTCCTCCATCACTCCATACTCCTCATCCTCCTCTTTATACTCTTCTTTAACATCAATATTATCATCCCCGAGGATTCCACTCTGAAAGATATAATAAAACATTCATTGTAACAAACATGCTGTGTATAAAATCACAACTACCAATAATTGTCATCATCTACCTGATGATGGTGAGGGATGGTGTGACCTTCCTGTGTGGAATCCCGGGAATACAGAGGACGGGGACATCTCTCTGGTGGGTTCCCATGACTGGATCCATCTGTAGGAAACACACACACTGACTGAATCCATTGTTTCTATGTGTTTATCAGATGATGGGGGATCTAGGTGGATCCTCCGTACTGCTCTCTCCTTTACAATAAAGTCTCCTCTTACCCGGTGATGTGAGGGGTGGCTGATTGTCCATCATGACGTCCTTGTAGAGATCCTTGTGTCCTTCTAAATACTCCCACTCCTCCATGGAGAAATAGACAGTGACACCCTGACACCTTATAGGAACCTGACACACACAATGATACAGTCACCATCCAGACACATCCCTTGTCTGTTACTGGAGAATGTCCCAGAATTCCCGGCACCGCTCACCTCTCCTGTCAGCAGCTCAGTGATCTCTCTGGTGACTTCTAGAATCTTCTTCTTCTTTCTCTCTTCTATCAGGGAGGGAGGTGGAGGCAATGTGATGTCATATGATCTCCAGACTTCACAGGAGGAAAACTCTACATCTGAACACAAATAGTCACATCAAATGATATTCCCAGAATCCTCCTCACCTCTCTATTCAGGTCTCCATTTATTATAGCCCCACTTGACTCTGGATGGAGGGACATTGGGAAGAGGAACTGTGAGGTCAGTGTGATGTCATAGGATTCTCTGACTCTGGATGGAGGGACATTGGGAGGAGGAGCTGTGAGGTCAGTGTGATGTCATAGGACATATAGACTCTGGATGGAGGGACATTTGGATGGGGAGATTTGAGGGGTCCTCTGTATGAGGCTCCCATTTTACCATCCAGAAATCTGTCCGGAATCTGTGGAAGTAAGCTGTCATGTGATCAGGTGACGTGCGGAGGAACGGAGTGTAAATAGCAGACAATTGTCTCCAGAGCCCCTAATGGTGGGGATGGATTTGGCGGCGTGCTGGTGCCAAGTTTCCTCCCCCCAGGGTCACTGCAGGTGTGGAGAAAAGCTGTGTAAGAGGATATGGAGGAGAGATGAGGAGGAGATCCAGGAATCAGGAGAAAGGTCAGGGCAGGCAACAGACAAGTATGAAGACAAAGCGGTTGGCCGCAACAAAGCAGTGATGTAGGGGATAAAATCCTTTGTTGGAATCCTTTACACACAATGTAGTAAGTTACACATGACCAGCTCCAGGACAGAGCAGAGGAACAGAAGACGCGTCACACCAATACAGGCTTAGTCATTACTGATTTTTATTTGTCCAGAACAGCTTTAAATAACATGTAACAGCTGATAAGGATTTGTCTGGAATCCGGGATAACAAAGTATACAACAACATGACATCATTAATATCATGACACATAAAGTGACAACAATCCCTGTAATATATGTGGTTCCTCGGACAGGTCACCAGATATATGAAATGGAAACCAGCATGATAAGGAAGGTATGAGTGAACACCTTTTATTTTGTTCAGTCCAAGCTGGGTAGGTGGCCTCCCGTCCACCCACAATATAATGAGACAAGAATGCAAACAATCCTACATAAACATGATAACATCCCACCCGGCACTCGCACTCAGCCCTGGAGGGAGGTGTCTGCAAATGACAAAATCCAAACAACCTTCCATTTACATAGAAACATGAAGGCCTGTATTGGTGTGTGACGCGTCTTCTGTTCCTCTGTCCTGTCCTGGAGCTGTCATGTTATTACTACATTGTGTGTAAAGGATTCCAATAAAGGATTTTATCCCCTACATAGTCACTGCTTGTGCGGGCCAACCGCCTTGTCTTCATAATGCCCCTGTGACCACGGATCAGGCCGCACCTACGTGTCTGTGGAGGGGTCTGGTCATTCACACATTCCGCACTCACTTAACAGACGTCTTTTGTTTTTCCTGTAAGCCAGCTTTGGGAGCAAAATTATATTATCATCAACTCCTCCCCCTGAAGGGGTTTCATCTATGCTTTCAGTTCTCTGAGCTCCACAAGGGGGGGGATCTCAAATTTTACCCAGACAGGAAAGCTCTATGGAAGACAGGAAGGGGATGTCAAAGGGACAGACAGGGGAAAAGAGAGGGCCCTTGGGGGGAAGTGGCAGCAGAGGAAAGGGTTTAAAAAGTGTTTATGTTCTATTTACACCCCGTAACCCCCATCATGGGCCCCTCTCTCCTCCAAAAGTCAAAGTCTGTTTCCCCTTTTCCTTTCCTTTTGGGCAGTCCAAACCTTTCCTCCATAGTCACGTTGTTCCCCTTCCTCAGTAGTCATGTCCCCCTTTTCCCCCCTCCCTTGTCATGGGCGTTTCCCCTTTTCCCCCCTAGGGCACTGTGACGTTTTTTTAAATTTTCCCCGAGATGATGATACACCCCATTATTTGTGTGGGAAAAAAAAACCCGATTAACCCCTTCGGGGGGAGAACATTCCCCACTTTCCGGGGGGCCCGGAAAAAACTCTCATTGTGGTGAGGGGGGTCCCTTTTCATAGGAGTTTAAACGGGGGCTCTCCTGGATTCGGGTTCCCGTGTTGCTCAAATGAATGGCTGAACCAATCCTTCCTGAAGTCAAAAGGGGCCAATGCACAATAGTTGGGTTTAAAAGACCAAAGGGGGTGTAGAAAAATCACCCTGAGGGGGGCATTTTAAATTTCAGGAATCCCGTTGGCCCGGGGGCAGGGAGGTTTAAATGGTTTTTTGTGAAAAATTTAATGTCCCCCCACCCCTTTTTGGGGATTTTGGGGAGTGTCCCCAATCTTGGGGGGTTTTCCTAAAAAATAGGTGTGTCCCCTTAAACCTGGGGGGTGTTTTAATCTGGGGGAGTTTGCCAACCCCGGTGGATGTCCCCCTCTGGGGGGGGGTTTTCCTTAAACCTGGGGGGGTTGTCCTAAACCTGGGGGTTGTCCTAATCATTTGGGGTTGTTTCCCAAACCTGGGGGTTGTCCAATTTATGGGAGTGTCCTAATTTGGGGGTG